TCAGCTTCGCACGCAGGCATTCCATGATTCTGACCACCATACTACTACACTCAAGGCTTCTTACAAGCCTCGCGACTTGAGCATAATTCTCTTCTTCGTCGTAATCACAATCTCTTCGGCCAACTGCTTCTGACGCGTCGCGATTAGGCTTCTTCATACGCTTATTCAGCACCATCCCGAGCAGTCAGAGCCAACCGCTCAGCATGCCGGTGGCTTCGCCCTCCTCCTCGCAAGAGTCTTCGCGATCGCCTACCCCTGAGCGTCACACTCGCAAAAGGTAAGTCGAATTAGCAGCGTTCATAATGGTAGCTAAGCTTGGACTCAATGAGAAAGAGCCGCACATTTTATCACCACAGATCTCGCTCGCTATCGGGCCGTTCGGACGATCGGAGCAGGTCGCCAGAACGGAGGCGCAGAAGAAGATCTTCTGCTTCGCTGTCTCCAGCCAGGAATGGGCATTTGAAATCTGCCGCGGATAAGAGCCTTCCGACAAAGCAGATCTCCAATGGGGATGGTGAAGATGTGGCTGCGGCCAATCGACTGGAGGCGAAGGGAGCAGACTTGAGAACTCAGCTCGCTAAGCTTGCACCCACCAGGGCAGGTGGTGCATACATCCCACCCGCTCGTCTCAAAGCATTGATGGCAGAAGCTGCTGCAGCTGACTCGGGCAGTGTAGAGTACCAGAGGATGAGCTGGGACGCGCTGAAGAAGAGCATCACTGGTTTGGTGAACAAGGTGGCAGAGGACAACATCAAGCATATCGTCCCAGAGCTGTTCGGTGGTGCAAACCTCATCCGCGGCAGAGGGCTGTTGTGAGTGAAAAGTTTGAGCTGCGCCTCGAGTGGACGCTCTGACGTTCAAATTTGATATTCTTCACAGCTGCCGTTCCATCATGAAGGCACAGCAGCTGTCGCTCGTGTACACGCCCACGTTTGCTGCGCTAGCAGCAATCGTCAATACCAAGCTGCCGATGATTGGCGAACTTCTGGTGACTCGGCTTGTATCTCAATTCAGACGCTCTTTCAAGCGCAACGACAAGCCAGTATGCTCAGCTACCGCTACTTTCCTGGCCCATCTCGTCAATCAGCGAGTGGTTCATGAGGTGCTAGCACTGGAAATACTCGTCTTGCTGCTTGAGAGACCCACCGACGATAGCGTAGAGATAGCTGTCACCTTCATGCGCGAAGTGGGCGCCTTTCTCATCGAGGAAAGCCCAAAGGCGACCAACAGCATTTTCGATCGCTTCAGAGCGGTATTGTACGAGGGCGATGTGGGAAAGAGAGTACAGTACATGATCGAGGTGCTGAGTCAAGTCAGACGCGATCGATTCAAGGACAACCCTCGAGTCCCAGAAGCGCTTGACTTGGTCGAGGAAGACGATCAGATCACTCATAGAACGAGTCTGGAGGACGAGCTGAACGTGCAAGAGGTTCTGAGTGAGTACTCTTACAAAGTCTGGCTGAGATGTCGCAATGTCAAGGCTCACCCCGCTTTTCGCACCCACAGACATTTTCAAGCCCGACTCAGACTTTGTCAGCAACGAGCAAGCCTACCAAGAGATCAAAGCGGAAATCTTGGGCGAGAATTCTGATAGCGAAGGTTCTGATGGTTCCGACTCCGAGAACGAAGTGGACGGAGACGGAGAAGATGGCCGGGCAGACATGGAGGCTCTCGAGATCCAGGATCAGACTGCGACCAACCTGACAAACCTCAGGAGGACCATCTACTTGACCATCATGAGCTCGGCCAGCTTTCAGGAAGCCGTACACAAGCTTCTCAAGCTGCAGCTGCCAGAAGGCCAAGAGGTGTGTAAGGCAGCGCTGAACCCACATAACGTAGTTGCAGCATCGTCGCTGATGCCTCTCTTCTTTGCGAAACAGAGTGAACTTTGCAACATGATCATCGAATGCTGTTCGCAGGAAAGGACTTACAACAAATTTTACGGTCACATTGGCGAACGTTTGTCAAAGTTGAACAGAGTGTGGAGCGGATGCTTTGAGCAGTGCTTCAAGACCTACTTCGACTCCATACATCGCTATGAGACTAATCCGCTGCGCAACATCGCTCGGTTCTTCGGCCACTTGCTCGCGTCAGATAGCATTAGCTGGGCTAGTTTCGAGATCGTGCATATGAACGAAGACGACACGACTAGCAGTAGCCGCATCTTCATCAAGATTTTGTTTCAGGAGATGATCGAGAAGCTTGGTCAGAAGAAGTTGGTCGAGAGGTTCAAACACCCCGATATGCAGCTTTACTTCACAAACATATTCCCGCGAGACAACCCGAAGAACACTAGATTCAGCATCAACTACTTTACGGCTATCGGTCTCGGTCCCCTGACGGAGGACATGAGGGCATACCTGAAGGACGTGCCTAGACTACTAGCGGAGCAAGCAGCCGCAGCAAAAGCTGCTCGTGGAGCTGCTGGCTCAGACGACTCTAGCTCGGACTCAGACTCGGATTCTTCAAGCGTGTTGAGCTCAAGCAGCGACGATTCGTCAAGTATTAGCAGCAGTTCTCGATCTCGATCCCCACCCAGCAGGAGGAGACGACGGTCCAGCACGCCACCAAGGAGGCGAAGATCGCCATCTTATTCGTCCGACGACTCGAGAGCCCCGCGACGCAGCTACAGACGTAGATCTCCTTCCTACTCGTCGGCAGACTCTCGCGCTCCGCCACGTCGACGTGACGCCTACAGTCCTGCCAGGAGTCCGCGTCGGAGATCAAGCTACTCGCCTCTCCCTCCGCCTCGTCGACGCAACAGCTATTCTCGATCGCCTTCGCCCCTGCAAGCCTCTCGTCGCCGCGATAGTTATTCGACCTCGCCACGACCTGCTACGCGTCGCCGTGACAGCTATTCTGCTTCTCCTCCTCCGCCCTCTCGATCTCGCCGCCGCGTTAGCTACTCTCGCTCCCCCTCTCCGGGAGATCGATACAGAGATCAGAGGCGCCGCGATGATTACTCCGCCTCGCCTCCGCGATCGTGCACCTACAGAGATTGAGAAGGATCTGGAAGGATTTCGCAACGAGGCTGGGCGCGATGTTCGTGCTCATTCTGTGACCATACGATCGTGCTGCGCAAAACATTTTGGGACGATGTGCAGAAACCGATGATGCATTGTGTCTTATGGAAGAAAACCTTGCCTTTTACTCTGCCTCCTTCTCCAAGCCCGCATCGTGCTGTTGCTGCCGCGCTTTGCTAGCTTCGATCATTTGAGATCGTTTGTTGGCTATCCTTCGACCTTGAGAGCTCCCAGCGGCGCTCTTGACTGCTTGTCTATCCACAGGTCGCTTGTTGATGTGCTTGCGCTGGTTTTGAGAAGGCTTCTTGAGCTTCAACATCCATTCTGGCACTTCACATCCCGAAGCCTTCATGATGTTGGCCACTCTGTGACAAGCCAAGGAAGTCGAGTCAGCGTCGGAGCACAACATCGTTGACGTGAGTCTTTGGCACCAGAAGACTGACGAGCGCAGATACGGTCCGTCTTCCTTGGTGAAGAAGGTGACCGCTTCGCCCGCCCGGCCAGCTCTACCGGTCCTGCCGATCCGGTGCACGTAGCTCTGCACGCTTTGAGGGAAGTCATAATTGATAACCAGTCTGACGCCCTTGAAATCAATGCCTCTGGCTAGGAGCTCTGTGCAAATCAGGACCCAAACATCTCCCCGCTTGAAAGCGTCTATGACCGAGTCTCGCTGAGCTTTCGGTCTCTCCCCATGGATGACGTCGACATGCAGCCCGTCGTATATCAGCTCCTCGAACAGCTGGCGAGCCCGTTCGATGGATTGGACAAAGAGCAAGACGGGAGGCTTGAGCTTTCCCTCGTGTATCATGCTCCTCACGGCGTGCAATTTGCCCTCTTCCGATCCGACATAGGTTAGCTGCTGAGATATGCTTTCAGTTGCTGCGTCCTTGACGCCTGCTATGACGCGAATAGCGTCCAATTGAAAGGACTTGGCCATCTCTTCCACTCCTGAAGGAAGCGTAGCCGAGAAGAGTGCTTTGCGCAGCGATGGATGCGAGCAGGCTGCCAAGATGGTGTCGGTTTGCTCCAAGAAGCCGTCTTCGAGGAGTCGATCAGCCTCATCCAAGACCAAGTGTCGTACGCTGCGAGAGAAGACGGGAAGGTCTTGTTGAGCGGCACGGTCGTATACACGCCGTCTCTTGCCGGCGCTCGACTCACTTTGTCAGATCAATCTCCCCGGCATCTAGTCCGTGCACCAAGCGCAAAGGGGTAGTAATGAGTACGTCTGTGCAGGGTGTGTGATGGGGAGTCGAGGTGATCAGCATACTCTCTGGATTTGGGCGGCGTTACTTTGCTCACCAAATTTTTTCGCCGCTTCCTTGTCCTTCAGATTGGCCTGGTTGGCCTTGGTAAGAACGCAGGTTTTGATTTTGTTCCTGCCAGCGAGTTTTGCAAGCTGGCCATCTATTTGTACAGCCAGCTCTCTAGAGGGCGCAACAATGAGAGCTCGGAAGCCTTCCTTTTTGTGCTCTCGTAAATGAAACAAAATTGGAATGAGGTAAGCCAGAGTCTTTCCTGAGCCTGTGGGTGCGCCAGCCAAGATGTCCCTATCATCCAGCAAGATGGAAGTGGCGGCGCATTGAATCGGTGTGGGCGTGGCGAACCCGCACGTGGAAGGAGCAGCAGAGAGCCAGGAGGGGCCCTTCCAACGTGACTTGATCTCAGACCAGGAGGTCAGTGGGAGTGGTGCATCTGTCCCTGTCAGCTTCAATCGCTTCTCCTTGAGGAATGCACCTGCAGTGGAGCGCGTCAAAGGCTCGGCTACGGCTTTGGATAAAGTGGGGTAGGCTCAAGCTTGGTCAGCAGCTGGCCTTTTGACTGAGTCGGCTTGCCAAGCGGTCGTTTCTGCGCATATGCTGGACTCACAATCCGTCCTATGGCTATCCTCATTTACCTCGCTCTTTCGCGCCTCATCACCAGCACCCTGCAATCTTCGCCTCTTTTTCTGACCTCGCAATTCCTCCCCATCTGCGCCCTTTCCCCTTCTAGCGCTCCCAAAGAAATCGAGCGATGAAGGTAGCTGCACGCTTGCACCTGTTGCTGCTTTCTCTGATGAACTCGACCCAGCAGCGCTGGCGGGCTGAGAGGAAGCCGAAGCTGCTCGAGGATTGAATATGCCCACATCCTCTGAAAAGCGTTTGCGGTCGAAGGAAATGCCGCTCGAACCGCTTCCGGTCAGTATCCTGAAAGTGTCCGACATTGCGTCACGATATCGCAAGAGCGGAGACAAGGCGATTGAGTGGGAGGTCGAAGGTGAATGAAAGTTGTGATCGCGAGCGATGATGGTGAGGGGTTACACTCATGGCATCCAAATTTCGCAGGCACGAGGCGGTGTATGCGCTGTTCAGATTCACGCTTGACTTCGCGGCAAAAAAAAAAAAA